CGAAGGTATACTATTTGTTTTTGACAGACAAAAGATCAGACTCTCATCTGTAGTTAATGGCATTTCTAGTTAAATAACTCAACTTGGGCGGGTCCAACACTAACAGCAACAAACAGAAAACAACAGTGCTCTTTTGATTTCAGGCACTCAAAACGGTCCCACAATTTCACGTGACATCACGGGCCGCAGTGTTTGGTCAGGGACACAATAATGGTGTTGATGCATACATTAAAATATGAAACACTAAAATATGGATCACCGGGAAAAATGTGACGCAGAAGCAAGTTTAGGAATTTGGGAGAGGTGAGACAATGTGGGACAGGGAGCAGACTGAAAATTTGGGAACACCCAAACCAGTCAGACGGTTTAAAAATCCGTTTTTGGGCTCCGGCTCATTCGCACCGCCTCGCATAACTTTTGTTTTGTGACTGATTATTTATTTGAGGGTACAGTGCATTCTGTGAGTCAAAAGAGAGCCTTCAACACCGAAGTCAAGCCCGCAATTCCGAATCAAAAATCAGCTGTGAGTGTTTCGCTTTAATTTTGATACCCGACGCAAAACTGGCTCTTCTTACTATATCTCCTTAGGACACAAATATGAAGAACACAGCCGCCTGGAGTGAAGTTTATAATGAACTTTCTTCGTTGAGCGAGTACCTTGCACTCTCCATCCCGAGTCCGCTGGTCGCTAAGAATGTCACCCAGCTCTCTGATGAGTTATTAAAGACCGCCATGGTGTTTCTAGTGGACGGGCACATGAGGGAGAACAGGTTGAACATCTGAGGGTTATTCTTCAGAAAAAATCACGCCAACGAAGAAGGCAGAGTCGCTCCTTTTTAGTGTCCTCACAAAGCCTAAACACGAATCGCTTCATGCGGATTGAGTATGCCAGAAGGGATGCAAATTAGCACTCATGATTCTAGTCAACCTTCCCTTCCATACACCGTGCAGAGTAACTTGGAACAAAATATTAGCATTCGAAACGCCCATCCAGCGATCAGGCTTATATACGAGGATTGCCCCCTAATGGCCCAAAATCTGGGCCGCAGAAGCCATTGGGGAGATGCGCAAAACAGGCTTCCTCTTGGTCTCAGTTCAGATGACCCCAACCTTATGGCCAAAGCGATGGTAGCTGTGGCCGCCTGTGCTAAAAGCAAGCCGACGCAACCGGCCGCGACGCCGGATTGTTACCCAGCCAGTCAACCTTCCCTTCCATACACCGTGCAGAGTAACTTGGAACAAAATATTAGCATTCGAAACGCCCATCCAGCGATCAGGCTTATATACGAGGATTGCCCCCTAATGGCCCAAAATCTGGGCCGCAGAAGCCATTGGGGAGATGCGCAAAACAGGCTTCCTCTTGGTCTCAGTTCAGATGACCCCAACCTTATGGCCAAAGCGATGGTAGCTGTGGCCGCCTGTGCTAAAAGCAAGCCGACGCAACCGGCCGCGACGCCGGATTGTATTTTACCCAGCCATGGCAGATCCCTCGACTAGCAACGACAGTGATGCTCGGGAGAAGTTAAGCCTCACGTGGACGCAGCGCCGAAGTACGGCAAGCAATCATTGCTTATTTCCGAAATAGAAGATAAAGGTGCAGCAGTAAGCTCCACACCCAATTTACAACTTCTGGGCTGGACTGGGTCAGACGTGCGGAAACAAGAGATGAAGCCTACCAAAAAATCAACCATGGGCGCTGATTGCGACATCGGGGAATGCTCCCAAGATCCCCCACAGCCAAATCCACAAAATCAGTAACATCAAACCAGAAAATCCTTTGTACATATAATTGGCCATGCTGGTCGTAAACGACTCGGGAGCCCACAAAACACTAAAGAAAGGCGAATGCAGTCAAACAGAAAATATAAGATTCACCAAATTAGAAAACTGCAGACAAGCTACAAGGCATAGTCCTCTGCGAAAACGAGATTAACGGAAGCGCCACCAAAAGTGATACCTCTAGGTGCTGCCTTCCAACTTTAAGAGCCTCGGACAGACTCCTTATTGGTCAGACCGTGCAAAATGCCAAGGACCAAACAGGCGCATGTTTACCCCGAATCCTTGAAAAACAGCAACTTTAGTCGCTAAAAGGCCGTTTTCAACGAGTTACAAGTAGCAGCGTTGGAAATTTTTGCCCATGGGAGAGGAAATCCGTCCTCAGAGGGTAAAAGATCTGCGCGAACCGGGCTCCCACGGGGCTAAAAAGCCTTCAAATAAGAAGCAGCTCTCAGAACCATCAAGATAGGAAGCGGAAAAGTATGCCGCAGAGGCTCCTACAAGGCCTGGGACCTAAACTCGGCTAACAGCTACTAACTCTGTAACCTCTCCGGTTGCACACCTCTCGGCTTCCTACCTTCGAAGATAGCAGAGACAGTGTTGAAGTGCCTGTCCACAAACTGCCTCAGCCTCTTCAACAGGCTTTGCGATACCGAACAATCAGTATGCCCCAAACAGCTATCAATGACTGCATTCACAGCAACACGGCTCACAGCAGATGTCTCTTGCGCGGATATCTCGACAGATGACCATTATTTTTCGAGCTGACCCGAAAAGAGGGAGGACTTGTTGGGTTGCTTTATACTTACATGTGGCCCAGCCCATCCCGATTGTCCCTCTGATACCACTGCTGAACCTTGCTATGCACGGTGAATTGAAGTTCCGCTGCGCGGGTGCAATTCTTTTCTTTTTAGTGTGATCTACCGTTGGCCCTTGAGTCCTTCAGAGGACGGACGATTCCTCATACAAACCCTTAAGCATCTCTCCTTCAGGTACCCTTTCACCATCCCTTCAAAACCCTTACAGCAACCGCTTGCTCGCTCGATCCTGTAATTGCAACTACGAGCAAGTTTTTTGCCTGGTCCCAACCGCTTCTGGGACGAGTCCATTCTAAACAGATGGGGCTTTCATTCGGATTTAATCGACCTGGTATTCTGTCGTAAATTCGGTTTCCCTCTTCTACAAGTTCAATTCCATATACGGCGTTTGTTTGACCCTGTGCATTAGCACTATCCCCATTCATTCTATCCTTTACACCTGGCTCCCTAAAACAGTGGCACAAGTGGGTCTACTTAGTTTCAGGTTGAACCTTGCTTCCGACAAATTGATATCTCCAGTTCAACACGGATTTCTCCCGAACCGTTATTGCGTGATGAACATGTTGGTATTTATGTAGAGCTTAGCCCAAGCCCCAAACCAGGGACTCATATCGGATGCCATATTTTTTCAACTTCCCGAAAGCATTCGATCGAGTCCCACACGTGCCACTGCTCCACAAACTTGAGTGTTACGAGATACAAGGAAAAACCCTGTACTGGATCAGGGCGTTCCCATTGGACCGAGTGGAAATGGGCTTGACCTGTTCTTCTCCAGCGCCGGTTTCTATCGAAGTCCCTCAAGGCTCCGTTGTGGGACCATTGCTATTTTTAATAAACGCCAATGAACTTCCGGATGTTCTTGTAAGTTCATGTCTACTTTTTGCGGATAACATGAAATCGCGGAGCTCCAATGCCGGTGCCCTCCAAATGGATTAAGACGCTGCAAAGCAGCGGTTGGACTGGCACCTTCCTCTGAATGATTAAAAGGGCGTCTACATGTCATTCAGAGGAGACTCAACAAACGCCTTTGTCGTGCAGGGTGAGAATGAACCAACAGCCATCCCGAGGACAGGTGCCAAAAAGGATTTGGGCATCCATATCTCTTCAAACACGCCCTTCTCAATGCGCCATGAGAAATTGGCCCAAAAGGTATTCGCCGTTCTGTGGATGATTCGGCGCATTACTCCCGTATTCCTCCGTATCACTCACATGTCCTTCAAATACTTTTCTGGTCCTAAGCCGGACATCTTGCTGATTATGCCAACCAAGTTTTCTACTCAGGACGCACGAAGGACATAACCCTCATTGAGCGTGTCCAGCGAGCTGATACGTGAATGATTGCCGCCTGGCCAAACCAAAAGTGCAGAAGAATTACTTTTCCCCTGGGTCATCCTGACAACAAAAGGTCCTTAATTCGATTGGTCATCGCACATTCTTATTCTTGTTATCCAGAAATAAACCAGTGCATGGTTTGGAAAAATTGAAGCAAATCCCAAAAATTAACTATAAGCTAAACAAAAGGGTTGTAGCACCTGGTAGCAACGTCGGAGGCTCGCGAACTTTCTTGATTTCAGAAGTTTCTAGTATTTTTGAAGCACACGTTTCCTTTTTTCAGAAATATCCCTCCTCGAAATATCACTTTTGTCTTGGTCGCCAAATGGGGCGCAAAGTTGAGCATTGGACTAACTTCGCCCATATAACTCGTGGATTACTATGAATTTGAAAAGTTCTTCTTACACAAAAACAAAGTGAAATGGATGCCCAAGCACTGGACTAAATTCAGCCGAACACAAGAAAGCATGGTAAAACAAAGTTTTGCGGACACTTAAAAAGAAGTGAAAGAACTGGATTCAACAGCTTTGTGTATTACTTTATTTTCGCATAGATGGTACTTTGTGACGAGAGTGCTTAAGCCTGCCATTGTGCGCTGATTTTATCTAATTCTCGCAAGTGCAAGCTCTTATCACAACCGTAAACATCCCATCATTTGGTCCTGTGCAAATTGCAACCAGTCTAGCATAAACTGATCACAAAGCGATTAGATATGGAGCGTTGTTCTGCGTCCCAGACTGTCGTTCTTTCTATAACAAGCCTACGAAGTCAGATGCTGCTCTAGTTTATGCAGGTGGTGCAGCTCATTTCCAGGTGGTCTAGCCGCTGCAAAATTCCCTGAATTGTCAAAGAAGTCTAGGCAGAAGCCACCCAATAACTTCAAAAGTGAAAAACTCCACTTAGTCCAATTAGTCGTTACCCGGGTGTCACGTCCAAAAACAAAGCCAAATCTCGTGGGTATACATGACTTCAGTCAAAGCAACAAGCACTATTTCGCCGTAATAGCCGCAGGACGTATCGTAAGGCTCCCAAATCCCAGTCTCAAGAGCAGTATTGGTTGAAGAAAGCCCGAAAATGGAAGAAGCAGCAGCGATCGCGACTGAGTCGTACCCACCACCAACCCAGGAAAGCCGACGGTGATTAAAGTCGTTAGAGTAAGTGTGACCTGATATCCGTCCCGGTGTTCTCAATTTTCGTTTTTGGGTGGAACGTACACAGCAGTTTAGCTGATCTCGGGTGGTCAGGTAAGGTAGATAACGCACCACCAGTTCTACGACGGAAAAGTAGTTGCCGAAGTCAAAAATAGACCAAGCTTTTGAAGGAGAGCCAATAAATTGGCCTCAAGTGTATTCAGCAGAAGGTGCTCACCACGTCGTACGAAGTTTGTGATGTAGGAACTGGTCTTTTCAAACTAAGTAAAATTTGACCGCTCCAATTTGGGTTTATTCTCTATATTGCGTGGGCGAAACCTTACATTTTAGTATTTGGTTGTCACTTTCTTTTTAAATCGACCCTGATCAGTCCTAACGAATGACTTATAGTTTTAACCTTTTCCAGTATATTACTGTTTCACAAGGAAATCTATTCACTTTGCCTTTTTATAACTGACGTATTTGCCGTGTAGCATTTTTCACCATTCTTTACTGGGCAGCTGTTGATTTATTGGTCTGGTTACCCAAAAAGCTACTGTACCAGGAGTGTGTTGCAAAGAAATAAAAATCAAATAGCTAGGCTGAGTATACAATAATTAGGAGGGTCAAAACGAACAGACTCACCAAGGATTGTTCCAACTCTGCCTACTCTTTGACTGATCACGAGGTGTTATCAACGTCAAACTGCCCTACACTATCCAATGACAGTTTCTTGATCACCAAATCTCTCAGAAACACTCTATCGTGCCTTTATCTGGAGGGTTTTCAGAGCCCGATTTGTTTTCGAAATCCTGCAATGCCACCCAACTCGCTTAAAACATAGTGACCTATACCTGAAACGTTGCGCGAAAACCTGACCTACTTATAAACACAATAAACCATACAGAATGAATAGTTATCAAAACATCCAATCCCCCGTAACATTCACTGGGTCTGAGCCTCACGCTCTCCTGATGAAGTTTCTTCATTGTCCACCTTGAGTTTATCTGTTACCACTTTACAGCATCCTCGTCAATGTCCACACCTACTTTGCAAGCAGTTATGGACAATGTACAACCTAGTCTGCTTTGTGAAACGGGTGCTGACCTTACGGCTGGTCTCAAAATATTAGCATTTTGCTTCCCACTTTGCCTGTTGTTCCGACGAATCGAACATTGGAGTAAGAAACTGATCCACCAATCTTAAACATGAAATGACGACCCTGGACCTGAAAAGGATTTTAGATGTTGTATGGATTTCCACCAAAAATTCCCGCCTACCTGTAGCGTTAGAATGCACCCACCTACCAACTGCTTCCGTTTTAGCCGTTTTCACCGGCCCATCTCCTCTGGGCGTGCTTCTCCCTACTCTTTCAGTCTTGTCCTTAGGCTTGATTTGCTTAAAATCCCTTGGTTGCTTGCTGAAGGGAGCGTTTGATACATGCCGCTGCTCACTCAGCTAAGCGTTGAACAGCAATCTTCACATAACTTGAAGTTAATGCTCTCTAAGGAGTGATCTTTTAGCTACAGCTTCAGTCGGTTTTCTCTTTCTCTGAAGTTGTTTTTTTGCAATGAAGAAATTTTCTGCCCAACTGCTGGAGATACTTACTTGTGTCACCTATTCTTAGGCAGCCTATTGACATTTTCCTTGCCACTGAGCATACCGAGCTAACACGAATCCTTCCCTCCCCAAAACACGAACTACATAGTTGGAATGCATTGTAAGCTGTCACAGTTCGCCACTTTCTTTCGCCCTAAAAATTGAGTTCCGTTGCCCGTGTTTTTGCATATTAGCCAGTTGTGGATCGGTATTTATTCGATCTTTTCATCTTAAAATAACCAATGCTCCTTCAGACTTGTCGTCTGGTTATTGGCCCTAGCCGGATAAGTCTTGCTTTAGATTGCAAATAACTAAGTGGATTTCACACACAGTACTATAATTGGTCTAAACCCTAAAGCAGCTGGAGAGAGGGTTGGTGGTCCAGTCATCAGCAACCAGTAACTTGGGTGTCTCAAATCTGTAACCCAAACGATTTGCCTAGGAATATCATTTACGATTCACGCACAGCTTGCCCCCGGATCCTGACATCCAGGAGACCGTCTGTCAGATCCATATACGGCTGCACAGTCCTCGTCCTAATATTCGGACTGAAAGCTTGTTCCAAACCATTGACCAAACCCCTTTGAATCACAATGCCAGAATCATCGTTATTCATCAGTGTATCTTCATAAGCTGCTACTACCAGAAGGCCAGCTGTCACATTCACGTATCGTAATTTTCTAGTATTTCTTTGGAATTAGAATGCTTTTCCTCACCTCTCACCGGCTGTAAAACAGACTCTTCTGGATTGTAGAGACGTGTTTACACCCAAAATTCTTGACCTCATTATCACCAGACCCGCCAGCAGAAAAATACGCCAGAAGACTTAAGGAATGGTTTGGGTCCAAGTCATTCCGCTATACTCAAAAGGAGCGATTGAGAAAGGGTGAGCATTGTGGATCAAGTCAAATTACATGTCGTCCAACAACCTGGGCCTAGTTGTCACAGTGCAATGTGGCTTTATTGAGGAATGGCTTGTGGTTGCATCAAATCTGTTTATGTCGCTTAATAGGACCTACCTTGTGGGCCAGATTATATACTTTGGAAGGTGGTCTTCTGTAAGTTTCAGGTACTTCCGAATACAGCCACCTTTGTCGTTGAAGCCTTTCTTTATAAGTTTATCAGATTTTTATATTTGCTCAATTCATGTTGCTTCCCTGCAAAACTGTGCGTTCTGGGCATGATTGAACGACCCACCTAGAAGCATTTTTTGTTGTCTGCCCCGTACAAAGATTCCTCGTCGGTATTCTTAGTAGTAGCATATTATCGTTAAGCGTCATAACTGCCTCTTATGCCGGAACAGTGGTCGTTGTGCTGTCTGTAAACAGAACGGCCCAGCCATTAGGCACACAGGACTACAAGAGAACGAGTATGTCCTATTTCTCTTGTGTAGTTTGTGCAGTTTGCTATTGCTATAACCTAGAACCTAATAAAAAATCCTTGGCATAAGAACACCACCCAAAAGATTGGGGCCAAGTGGACAATTCGGTTTCTTACTAATATGAGTGACTCTCCTATACCGATGTATGTCGTGAAGCCTGTCAAAAGTGCCAGTTTATACCATTTTATACCAAATTCGATATATATCCAGCCATTAATGAAGGGACCTGCTGGCTTACGGCCAGCTTGAAAACCGAATATTCCGTAGTTTTTTTTGCGTTTGTAGTCAGGTGGGCTGAAATCAAATACCGTGACAGTCGAACGAGAGTTCAAATCACCCGCAGCTTTAAACACGGTGCACTGGTTAAGATGGTATGAAACCGATATGCTATAGGTTTATGAGTACGCAATCACCCAAGGTACAGATTTTGGAAGAATCCGTGCGGCCGATCCATGTCCACAACAAGTCAGAAAGCGAAATTCGAAGATTGAGCACAGTAAACCGGTGATACTATTCAGTTTACGCGTGTTGCCGATCCTTCCGGCGAAGAGCTTATTATCACGTTTGTAACCTTAGAAGACACCGTTATCTTCATTATACACGTGATTTTGGCATCGGAGACCATGCGGAAATGAGGCCTACCGATTTGTTTGGCTCTTCCGTATTTTGAGTACCTACCACTCATGATTCAATATAAAGTATGTCCATACAGATCTTCCGTTTGTCGCTGCATTAAAACGGTTTGCCGGAAACCCTAAGCATGGTAGTATCCTTTGTTGGATTTTGGCTACACAACGTCTGGTCATTTTAGTGTAGCCTAGTTATCATTCCATTAACTTCACTATTATCAGTGGCCAATAACTATGCAATCCACTTGAAAAGTGCCTACAATTTGAATTTGAGGGTTTAATGGACTTTTGATTTACCTATTTTTCAGTTCAGGTCACAATAAGCTTTCGCGGTTTTCAAGTTACACACCAGATAATATAGCTCCGTTTATGGTTATATTCACTTGGAGGTGTTATTTGGAGGAGACTTTTTTTAAATTTTCCTTTCCCAAAAGTTACTTTACGATAAACATATTCCGGTTGATCTATTAAGTTGGGGTCCCTTTTTCACTCCTGGACTTTTCCTAGGGTAAGCTCGTCTGAGGCGGGAAGACCAGTAGTAGTGGAAAATATATCGGATAATCTACCACTGCAAAAAATATAACTGCGACAAGTCACTGGTGTGGCTGAGTGGAGAGGAGATCTCAATAGTTTTTAAACTTACAGAATGGTCACAAACTTCAGACCTTGCTTGTGAATGGATCAAGAATTTTTGTCGAAAATATGAAGATACGGAACCTTGTCTCCTTGATCATCGGATAAGAGTACAACCGCATTATGCGCGTCGCTTATGAGTTTTACTGACGACTTTCACTGGGACTCCACACCGTTTCATTTTTAAAAGCAATGAAGTGCCAACGCATTGCATCACACTAATACGTCACACCAAAATAACACCAACTCTGTAACTTTCAGATAAGCCACGCTGAGCATTTTCACCTGCGGACAACGAAACTCTCCTGCATATTACCCAACTGCATCAATCTATAATCCTCTCAAATCCGTGTTCAGACTGTATAAAGCGCACTGATAGCAGACTGTTTGACTAGGGCCACATCAAACAGCTTGTGGAAGGCATATGCGTTAGAAGAAAGCGGTCAGGGAAGACGGAATGCATAACATTTGTTTTCCAGGACTAAAACCTGTGAAACAATTTCGGATGAGATGTCGAGTTTCATATTACTGGTTGTTTCCAGCAATCAGTTTATCAGCGAGCGTGATACTATGAGTACAATAATAAAATAATAAAATTGCAAAAACCTCGAATTGTGGGACTACAGCGGCTTCTGTGCACCGGTTTAGGAACTGCTAATTCCAAACGAGATCCCAAAGTTCACACCGATTCAAAAAAGCTAGCCACAAGATGCGGAATCCCACGTGCTTGATTTAAGCTAGACGTGTGATAAAATTGGTCAACGAGCGGTTTATCTCCGAGTCATAGCAAGGAAGAGTGTACGGATGAAACAATAAAACGAGGGATCACGTTGTACACAATTAGAATAGGAGAAAAGAACCAAGTCATTTAAATAATCTATTAATTTCTGTTGAGGACATGGTCTTCTTGCAACCGGCACCCACATAGTTGATTACGGTTTGATCTCCTGTTAAACTGACCCATTTAAATCAAATCTTGAGTGCACAGAATCGTGACCACTAACCATCAACAACTTGTCAGCATGGAATGACCAACTGAGTAATCTTATAAAATCTGTGGGAAGGCCTTATATTCTTCTTAAGTACTTTCTCGGCCGCCGTTAAAAAAATGCAAAACACAACTGGAGAAGTATAGCGCGAGTTGCCTGATTCTCCGCGGTGCGTACTAGCCAATCAGCGTACTAGCCGCTTTGTATGTGGGGTGAGTCCTTCACCTCAATTATTCTTCTGTTTCCAGATGTGATCTTACACAAGGTCAGATAGTCCGTCTGGTATCTTCTGTGAATAATTCCAAGCAGTATTCTTACTAACGACAACACAAGCTCCACTTAGGCTCTATGACTGGAGATGACTTGGGTGCTGTCATCAGTGAGAGGGTTATGAGTGCTTGCTCACAGTGTCATTGTTGTACGACACCTATACCGGTTAACGACCTGCTGTTAATTCATATCCCAGTACTCTTTGGCTCAGGACAACATGCGGTAAAGCAGTCAATCTAATCACAATAGTGTTTACAGGGCAATCGCCGAGTGCCTTGGGAGGTCGCCGCAGTTCTTTCCGGGGCGCATGTGTGGCGTGTAAATGTGTGCATATGCTGGAAAAACGCTTACCTCCGTTTTAGCATCGATAAGAGGGCCCGCTCGTCTAGTTTAATCAGAGACGAAAAGGAGAATTCAACAGCCAGTCACGCTAGTTGTTGTTGAGTGTTAGCCTATCCGTTTATTTGCCTCTTGGTGAAGAAGGGGGAGTGATACCTCTGGGACGAAGCTTGGGATGACTGATGATCAACGCAAACTCCCGAAGAGGTGGTAGGCGACTGTCAATAACGACGATGTGATGGAAAGTGCTGTGGGGCGATATTTGCTGCTTGTATGATACTCAGTTTTTATTGAGCACGTATAGTTGTGAGGGAAGCACAGATACTTCTAAAACTTTGTTCAGTTTTACAAGTTGGCGTTTGCAAGGTTATCTGATCTGTGTTCTCATCAGTCTGATCCAATGCATTGACTGCTTGCGCTCACGGATTAACTTGCATCGCTATCTGCAATTTTTGCGGCCAAAATTCACGCATTTTGAGTTCATTAGGGGGTTTTCTGTTGTCGGCTCTTCTCAATTGATTTAGCAACTGAGGAGGGAGTCGATATCCTAGTTTAGCACCCTTATTCTGCCGTAACCTTCGACAGGGTAGAAGCACTAAAATGGCGAAGCCTTTCATACGATGGGTTCTTATTAAGGGGTCCAGGAGGTTTGAATCGTCAAGATCGTGTGGGAATAGTGCGAGCAGGACGTGGTGGTATTTCGCCAGGCTATTGGTTTGCCATCACGAAACGGAAAGACCGAAATAGACGGTACATGTACCGAATGCATTGTGAGCTGCGAAACGCTCCATGGAACTTTCGCAGCATACCAAGACGCCTATCCGGCAGTCTTCATATGAGAAGCAAAAATCTCAAGGCTGAAACCTCTAAAAATCCTAAGATCACTTCCTACACTACTTGGACACTACCTGCACTACCCACATGATGCAAGAAGTCGTAAACGAAGATGCGGAACAGATACGAATACTGTTCTGTTTTAGTGTACAACTAAGCTGTACTGCAGGTACATCTTTGAAATAGTCAACTGACTTGGCTGATTTCATCGTGGAACAAATGTCCTTGCATTTTACTTGTGCCATGGTTAATCCATCTGAACCAAAACGTTCCGACAGTGGCCCGCAGAAAAAAGTTTCAAAAGACGTTTTGAATGGAACGGGTAAATAACGCGTCCCCACTATGCATGTTGGCCTGAAATACGCAAATCCTGGACTCCTAATTGGGTCTGTGCACATTGGGTGTTCCGGTCAGTCACCCCTGGTGCAAGCGGTACGTTACCAGGTCTAGGCACCAATTTATCCCCTGACCGTCTCCAGCAGTTTGACTAAACGCATCCACAGCTTGGGTGACAGCTGGCGCAAGCTAGTGACGCCCATCTTTATTCCAAATCGTTAAACTCGCTAATGACTTTCGGTCGTGAGTTAAGACCCTACGTGTATGTATCGCATAATTTGATCGGTTGCCCGAATAGGTTCTTCTAGAAGGAGGGCAAATCAATACAGCCGAAGCTCAACGTGAGGAAACGTCGAAATTCACTAATTTGCAGCGTCCCCCACTTTGTAAAAATGTTTAACAGTACTCGATAACCACGTTGCTCTCCCAACACTCGGTCCACTTTATTACATGACCGCTGTCAACACAGCCAGCTCCCGCCTAGCACATACCACGCCTGGTATCGTATTCAGGGTGGTTGGCCTAATATCTCTCACCGTTATACGTACTGAATATAGTCTTCTTTTAGCACGCAATATACCCAGCTTCTTGGGCACCAGTCACACAACCAGTTAGAGAATGTCTTGAGATTAACATGGTTCTCTGTACCGTCCCAGAATTGTTTCTTTTCCCTAGTTTTGTCTTCAATGTTTGTCTGCTTGGAAGTCCCAATTAAACCACTGAAATACTCACACTTAGGCTCTCTGGGATGGTGATCGGTTGGCTCATCAGTTTTGGTCTCTCCAATCCCAATACGGTTATGTAGTCTTGTTCATTCGGGAGCGGTGGATACTGCCTCAGTCAACTCGCCATTCTTCTGAAAACTGGGCACCGTTACGTCTGGCCGGCGGGGTACCGTCACACAGTGTCCTGCGGTGTTCGTGTACGTAGATTTATCGTGTTCTGTGATCGAAAAAGTGGCGGCCCCTGCTTCAACTACGTAGTAGCAAGTAATTGACCGTAAAGATTTTGATCCTCTGATTAGCCAGTTATCCAGCTAAGCAGCCCACTGGGCCACTCCACGACCAATGTGGTAAGTGCCGAGTGCAAAATCAACCCCTCAGTTATGATAACACGGGAACAAGCAAGTGATCCGTTCACTAATCCCAAGGCAACGATGGCTCCATTATTACTATTGACTTTTTTGTCTCCGCTTTTAAATACATCTTAATGCTAATGTACGTGACGATCACATTCCCAATTTGTTATACCACATACTCCGCAAGAACGCGACTGCACAGTTTTATCAAACTCTTCTTTCGCCAGCCCTCTAGGTGGGAGGGTATGAAGGAGCCCAGTTGTCTCCCAGTTTTAGAAGGCTCACAAATTTGGAATACCTTTCACTTGGTCTATTTCTTTATCCATTTTAATGTCGTACGTGTATGCACATGGCACCTAACTTCAATGTTGTACTTGTAGTTATCCTGTCGCCTGTATGCTTGCTTCTAGTTTTCCCTTCCTTTGGTAATTCATTTCCCTGTTTTACTGTTGAGCTGAAACACTGTTGTAAATATTGCCTTGTGTTTCACAAGTTACATGGTTAGGACGCGGAACCACTGACAGGAACCTCCGTAGTTCAAACTCAACCCTGGCTTTCCTATTGTTTCTATTCAGGTTTGGGCAACCTGACAGTGATTAAACCCTTTAATGTGCGTGATAACTATCCGGCAGAATTGTATCACAGGTAATTTTTTTTGAAATCTGACAGTTCCCAGTGTAGCCCAAGGCCTTCATACGTGCTTTTCATCAAATCCTGGAGGCGCTCTAAGAAAAGAGCTTTCACCTATTTGGTCCTGTGGAACATGGATTTCTCAGTTCACCATCTCTACAAATATCATGAGCACGTCAGGTGCATTAAAAACAGTCAAAATTGAGTGGAATGACTAGGCAAACCTGGTTTGTAGAATGCGTGTGTCATAATTTACGTTGGTCTCTGAGAATCCCAGAGTTTACGGTCCACTAAACAACTTTAACAGAGCCCATTCCGCTAGATTAATTTTGCAGAGCGTTAAACTGATTAGACCACCCGCAGATTCAGTTCAGATGTCTGTGTACAGAAGTCCTACTCAGACGGTACAACACGCAAAACGAGCTTTAAATCATACATAAGCAGACCAAGCGATGGTGGAGAATGTGTTCCAACAACCCTTTGGTTCGTCTGTCGAAATCTTTGTGGGTAAGCCACTCTACTGACTTGCACCAAATAAAGGTGACTTTTCCAAAGACGCACTCACAGAACAGAGTCCCGTTCCTTCATTAGGTCTCTGCAGTTAGAACTAAGCTTTCTGGGTCCAGTGCGATCCATTTGCTCCACTAACACCTCAAACACAAGTTCTCTGTCCACACCCATAATATGGTCTTATATTCTCTTCCTCCTTGTTATGCACAGGGCAAGCCAAGCGCACAACAAGGCGGAATGGAATGTGAACGCGAAACTCCTTGCTGAAAAACCTCTCTAACTTCGATCATTATCGACAGCATAACATCAGTATTCAACCTCAATACTCCACCACCATACAAACAATTTATTTGAAAGCCTTATTGTGGAAAAAATGGATAAAATTGGACTGAGAGGGGACTTGGTGCTAACCTAACAAAGCCATTTCGAAGAGCCTACACCTCAAAGCACTCATTTAGGCATTCCGAATAGAAATCGATGATAAAACTCCACTTACATCGATTACCAGGTTTATCTTTCAGCTCTCTAAGTAGGTGCAGTGAGTACCCTCCCCCCCCCCGAACCACATCCTAGAAGGTGAGTCGCACCAACAGCACCCAGAATTATCCTAATATCCCCCATAACCCTCTGCCAGGTTAAGGGATGACTACCACTTTGCATCCGCCACTCGGATTTGTGCACGGGAAATATAACCCTCGTTCTGTTTGCTCGATACGTTGTCTAGGTATTGCATCACTTGGTGCTGGACGCACTCTTCGACTGAACTGCTCGTTGCACAACCGAGCAATAATCTTCTAACTGCATCGCTGCGGATCCACCAACACCAGTCTACACGAGCTGTGGTTCTGAGACAACAGTTTTAGAAAAACTAAGGACTTTTAAGTTCTCAGTGAATATACACTCATCTGGAAGCATCACAAACGAGAAATTTAACTGGGTTCCAGCGAAGTCTTTTGAAAAACCTAGTTTGCAAATGAGTGTATATTCGCTTATTTCATGCAATTTGGTTTCAAGTAGAACATAGGGCTCACGGAAACCCGGGGCTGCGCCCACCTGATGAGCCCCAAAAAGGGCGAAACCGGTCGTGGGCTGTCGATGGATTTTCAGCAACCTTATGAGTAGTGCATTACAGATATATACGTCTAAGTTCTGCTGCTCAAAGTGGCCACATCTAACAGCTTTACAACAGAACAGCCCGTACCGTGGCTTGTCACACACGTCCTTTGGGGTTCAGAGTTACAACCTGAACCTTACAAATGTGTGGCTTCATCTCATCTGTCACACTACAATTGGACCTAATACGTCTTCCAGAATACGTAAAACGTCGTACAACTTCAAACGTCTCTATTTGGTTTACAAGTGATATATTCGGTGACTGTAGGTCCAGAAGGATGATATTACATAGTGTGAGTTCCAAGAGCATGCCGAAACAACTGTGCCTTCTTCCGTCCCTCAAACAGGAGTACGACGTCGTCTGCATAATCCAGGTGGACGTGGTTTTTGTTAGCAGCTGTTTGAAAAACAGAGTTTTTACAGAGCTTCCACTGTTCTTCTCATTACCTTGTCCGTCACTAAATTAAATGGAAATGGGAAGAGTAGGTAGCCCTCACGGGTACCATTTTGAGCACGGAAGCTTTTAGAAAGCTCCATCTAATCTCAAACACCCGAAAGGCTGAGAACACAAAGAACTTATTGCATTAACAAATTTCCGGGGCATTTTTTGCTGAGCAAGTGCGCTAAAGAGAACAGGCTAGTCAGTTGTGTAGAATGTGCCTTAAAAATCTAAAATTGTGGGTCGTTTATGCTTAAAGTACCGTTTTAGCACCTGACGGAGTGCAAAGCTTTACCTAGCCGGAGCCACACTTGGGGCTCTCAAGTCAATGCTTTATGGGCCACCATTAGGCAGCTCTATCTTCTTCGGTAACGCGATCGGAAATCTGTTTGCCACAAATAATATTGACAATAGTGACATGGTTAACGGTGTGGTACCGTTATCGTTCTACCGACGTCATTTGGCCACCGCTGAATCAGTCGCAGTACGATGGTGAGGTGTCATGTTCTGTCAAAGCGAATTCGTGGAGGCTCTCAGCTCAACTTGATCAAACGATGTTCCTTCGATTCAGCCTGCTAGAGATTTTAAGTCAGATGTAAATCAGTCGATTAGAAGGCATTTCAACGTAGAAACATTGTTCTAGGCCATTCTTCTAACATACTGATCACTCTTAGCTGAACCGCACAATACTTGTTGCCATTTTAACTGTCTGATGTATATCTATTTGACAATGAGGCTCGAAAACGGCGCCATTCGTTATTTTGGGATTTCGGTAACACGGTTAAAGTAGTCAAGCAACCACTGATATTTTCCTCTAACGTTCTTAAGAACTTCTTATTACGGTAATGGGTTAGACTCCGCATAGTTGCGAAGTTCCAAAATCACGACCATTTTCACTCCCGCGTGGGCATTCAGTGTGAATGGTGAACTTGTGGGTATTGAAAGCTGTGCCCAAGAAGAACCTTTTCGTCAAAAATGCGGAAGAAGACAGTTAATTTGACCCTTCAGGCTCAAATTTCCATATATAGTTATTTTGAAAGCATGACTCTTGCTTTCTCAGTCGGTTTTTCAAATGCTTTTAAATATCATGCCATTTATATGAACCGAAAACTAGCGAGTGATACATTAGGTATTTCAACTCTGAAAACTTATCCGTAGGGATTCGCGCATCAGATGAGAGTTGAAAAATAGCACATTAGCACTAGTCATGGTTGTTTGTTGACTGCTCAACCTTGAAATACTCACTAGGTTTGATTGCATAGGTAGCTGGAGGTTACTTCGCTACTAACTATGAGTAACTTCAGGTTATTAGTTACAAAGTACTCATCAACTTGTAACAGTTTTGTGGTTATAAAATCAAAATGTACCCAAAAGTGGTTATTCCATGACTGTTTTGTGTTTTTTCAAATCGGAAATCAGCGTAAACTAATGTCGAGTGCCAATGGGCAACCATGAACTTGTGGGCATTCGGGGTGGCCCTCAGAGGTTGTTCTTGAGGTAGTATGCGGGGTCGCATGACCACGTCACATTCAGGGAAGTTTATTTGTGGTTGATTTGCAATTTACTTGCCTCAAAATGTGGGAGGGACTAGTGATGGATAGGGATGAAACAATTCGTAAACCGTGGCGCGGTAAATTGTAGTTCTTGGATAAACAGCCACGAAATGAATAGGCAAAAAATAATACCAAAAAACAGGGCGGTGGCGTTTTCGCATATCTAGATGTGATACGCGCTAATTGGGGACCTGTATTTCCATATATATTTCCGTTTGAAGTGTATATCTCCCATCCACCTAGCCACAATGCGGCATCCTTTGGAACATCCTACTCTACGTTTGTGATGGCCGTGTACCATAAAAAGTAATGAAGTAGTTTCGTCAAAAACGAGTGTTTTTCAGCAACATATGCAAAACTGCTCACCGGTGTTAGAATAATTAACGTCTACTTATACAAGAGCAAAATTCTGGTGGTGAGCAACCAGTCAGTTTGAGGTGAAATTACAGTCCGAAAAGTGGGCCACCTTTTTTTAGGTCGAACCCAGAAAGAATCTCCCACGTCAACAATGACAACGATGGGTCATAAGGCCAAGTTAAAAGAAAGTTGGCCTGTGGTTATAATGTCATCTATGGGTGGTTTTTCTATAAGGAAGGTGCTACGAAAAGAACAGTGGTGTAACTACGGAACACCTATAAACTCGTGACTATCCAACAGGTGCAGCGACAGAAATGACTTCAACTCACGAATGTTTCGCCGTTTTCTAACCACGTGATAACCATGATATCGCTGTTACCAAGTGTCCAGCGCATTTCTACACTGTGAATGCTTGAAGAACTTTTTTGTTCCACGGGATGTGTGGCGAATTTTAAATGTAAGGGGAACCTTTTAACACCCTGTATTTGTGGTTATTGCGTAACTCCCTTGATTCTCGCATGTCTTTGTCGAAAGTTATCAGTTCAAAAGTGCTTCACCAAGTCCTAGGGCAGTTATTCTCCAACCAGTTCCACGATGTCCACTTTCACTGTCAGGGAATCAGTCGATTGGTATTTCCTGGGAATGCATTTTCTTCCCAAGTCTAAGTAAGCAAAAACCACCGTCGTCACCGCAAGGCACGTGTAAGCCACGATCCACAAATTTGACTGGAAGGAGATGCCTCTAGTCTTCCTGCACAATACCAACTCGATCGGAATAAACAATCACTATCGCACCATGTTGTCTCATAACGAGCAATCAGCTCACCTGGCTGCTTCAAGTTATCTATTTGCCCCAGTTTAAATGCGTTTGTTTTTTGCTACACAGCTTGTCACACAAAATCGAAGTATTGACATTTCACAGCCGGTCTTCTCGTGTCAGCTCTCCATTAAGACATATCAATAGGAGTTCAAGATTACACAACACTGGACCAGTTCCCATCATGTGGTTTCTGTTTTCATAGGAGTTGTCCTCCAGTAGATAGTTTGGGATTCGTCGAACTAGAGTGAGAACTGCCAAAACACTAGTTAAAGGGTCAAAAGTTCGAAAGGGGGCGAGAATTTAACCCTTCTAGTTATTGAAGATTCAGAATAGTGCTAGTTACCCTGACAAGTGGTTGTGATTTTTTACCCATTGAAGACACGAGGTAATTTTTCGACGGAGTTACGCTTATTCGTACATTCCATGGAATCTATAACTATGTTGTTCAGCGCCTTCCCGGACCAAAAAATTACTGGTGGAGTCTTCAACTTATACCTAATGCAATTCTGTCATGATAACCAGAATGTTCGACTCCATACGCCAGTACTATCCTCATCCAATTCGATCTACACTTGCAAATGTGCTCTGTTTGTCATCCAGAACCCGGATGAATAAGCTCCACTTTAATTGTATATGAATACCGTTTGGCTGTCAACCTTCTCGTCACTAATCCTGCGGCATCATCAATGGTACCGTTTCATGGTACAGTGGACTCTATATCTAACAACAAGTTCTACGGTGGTCGCTGATAATCCATCTTTCGTGAGTGGACCCTATTCACCTTGGGTGGGCTGTGTCCCACTACAAAACGACTGCTTGTACTTGAGACAGAGTAAACTGGCACAGTACCTAGGGATCTGCAAAAGAATCACAGTTTTTTGATGTTTGGAAACTTCTATTCATCTCTAACTGTTGGTAGTTGGCTTGTTCGCTGAGCTGGGCAATTTGGTTGGCAGTGGGTTAGTAACCCACCGCTACGCACAACTACGCACTGATGATGTCACCTCGATTGGTGATGAAACGTTTGCAACCAAATTGCTCAGCTCAGCGAACAAGCTAACGACCATCTACGCTACCTGAGCTACCGACATTCTCCTCTATAGAAAATCTCTAGCTGTTTTTTTTTTGCAAATCAACCAAATGCTTCGCATGGACGAAACTGAAAAGTAATGTTTATTTGCCAAGCACTTGAGAATCAATTAATTTTGGGGTAAAACTATTTACTGAAACTGAAAGCCCAACCACGACGAAAGAATATAGTGCCGTTAAGATGACTCTTTAATTTAGTTACAAAAGTTACAGGCCACCTTCGAAATTTGTCTTTTAGGATTCTGATGTAAGGGTGAAGGCGAGAAAAGTACAGTTAAAGGCTCTCGGAAGCAGAAAGTTAACTGGTTTGGGCAATGTTGTAGCAAACAAAAAACAGTATCGGCAGAACACAGAACGACCTGTTCTACGATATCGTCAGTGTTTGTTTTTTTACTCTGGCAGGTCGATTAGATTCAAGCAAAACAGACGGGAGGTAAATCCGAAATCATTCTACTACTGACTTCTTATCACTCCTCTCTCATCGTTCTACGCGTGCTTATGATGTTGCGTTGGTGCTGTTTTCGTTGCTCCACTAGCTTCGGCAGGAGTGGCTTGTTCCGCTCGCGTAGCCTGACCACATCCGGACAAGAACAAGTCGAAAGCAACAGTCAGGCGGCCGAACACTATACCTGTTAACGCTAGACCAACTACCATGTAGATTATGGATAGGACTGCGAAGAATGCGTCTCTGTCCGGCACCAGATCACCGAATCCGACTGTGGTGATAGTGATAAAGGCAAAGTAGATGGCATCCATTTTGCCCCACTTCACCGGCTTTCCTCCAGTCACGTAGGAATATACACCGGCTCCAAACACAAGGTAGAACGAAAATAGTAGCAGGCAGGGTAGCACCTAATGTAAGGGGAGGAAGATTGGAAGCTTCGTTAGAAAATTCATTCAAAATTATGGGATAACAGTGAACATAGACTTTGATATGTCTTCAGGATAGCCATGAAAATGGATTGGCTAGATAATGTGAAAGAGAATAATGGAAAGGAAACGAGTCACGTGAATGGTTGATCGAAATGTACTTTCAGCGGCATAAATGATCTGCTGGGTTAGGCCGATAAAGGTTCAACTACATTTCCCCAGTGATGTTGAAGTGCACAATGATGCCCCTCAAGTTTCTATTGGAATGAAGCTATTGAGCGAGCAGATACCGTCTGTTCCAGCAACGAGTCTTACACACAAAGTGACGAAAGTTCAAACTAATTGAATAATGATCCAATCTCAGTATGTGACCTTGAGGATTTGTAGCTCTGGTAAGCCTGTGCACGGACTGGCATGAATGGTCATCTTGGGTGAGCATCTTGTATAAATGAATTGCTTCTCTCCCGAGGCATCTGTCCTACTCTGAGGACCATCTCACTTCCTTCACTCTCTGCTTGCACAGTAGCTGGATCATTGCGGTAAAAGCCTTGGCTGTACTACACTGTGGCCCTTTCAGTTTCCTTTCGTCTTTTTACACGTAATAGTCCCATATATATTCCAGATATATATATTCCATATATGTATATTCCATATGTGATCTCATACAAGCTACAGTAACCCAGAGCGCCAATGGTTGTTTAGAAGAATTTCCGAAGTCCCACTTTCTTATATATCAGGCGGTCCTTCTAGAAAGCTGGATCTTCGTGTACGACAACCCTCAAGTTAGTTCGCTAACTAGTGAACTGCAGCAAGTGTAGCCTGAAGTGCATAAGGAGGGTTCTGGTGATGTATGTAACGTAATTTAAGTTTTTTCAAGCTGGGGCAAAGAGTTTGTTTGGACCATTGATCGACAACATAAAAGGCCGAGTCTTGGATTGTGAGGATTTGGTGTCATACCTTCAAAATACCCCCCTTCGGGACCGAACAACTTCTGGGTGCGTAGTCCAACAAATCATTAGCAAACAACTCTCATATTCTGAAGCGCTTTATTTCTTCAAGGTGCGTGGCGTTTGAAAAATCTTATAAGCACAGCAAAATGCCTGCTAAATAACACAAAGTTCCAAAAAATTTACTGTACTCCCTTGACCGAATATTAAAGCCTTTTGGTTCTTTGGAGAACTAGTAGTCTGCTTACTTTTGCTCGTCAAGCCCCATGGGTTAATGAGCCCGTATGTCGTGTTGGAGTGCCAGCGTGTTTATATTTGTTTACTTGAGCTTTTAAACCATATTTCTCTTTGTCTTTTTGTCATCTTCTCTTACAGGATTGGGGTATGGTGATTTCGAATCTTGATATATTACTGCCAGGTAGGGCTATATGGTTTGTGTCGGTTGTTTGGCTACGTCTTGTCTTGATACTGATGACGAGTAGCACGTTTACATCGTTTGTGAATAGTCAGACCACAGAGCGATGACCGGCTTGTATTTACATTTGGTTGACAAAGTTCTCTCACACTGGGTTTGCCGAAAAACCTGGAGAAACTCTCAGGAATTTGAATGAGTCAAAGAATGAGTATCTTTATATTAAAAAGTCTCGTGACGAATACTCGAGGGTTGAAGCACAGAACTGTAGTTAAAATGATTTGCCTGATCAGTGCTTTCAAAACCAACTTTATACAGTGAAATTTTTTATTTACAAGCAGCAAATGCAAGCTTTGGGGCAGCGATACTCATGGGACGACTGAGCTTTACCTGAAACCAATGACAATATGTTATTAAGTGTAGAATGGTAAGTTTCGCTTTTGCTAAAAATCATAGTGCAAACGAATGCTGAATGGTCCCAATGACGAACTCATAAGCCTATGTAGTGGAATTTGGATCACAACACACGAACAATATGACAGCTAAACCACAACTTAGTAGGGAAAGTCTGGGACATATGATATTACCTTACAAAAACTAGAGCACATAACGAGAAAATTTCGATAACGATAGAGTAAAACTGTTGAGAAATGCTCAAAAAGAACTACGTTCACATGATTAAGGGAGGTTTCTGGCCGAAAATGTCTGGAGTTAGTCAATGTTCGATGAGAACAATGAGACTGCAAAAAGAATAAGGAAACCTCACTTTAGAATTTTTTTGGAGTAGAACTAAAACATTTACACAACAGTTACTTTTGTGATGTTTTTTTAGGACGTTGGACGTCTAAACACCATGTTATTGACCAACCGCCCAGAAGCCAGTAGAAGTTCTTCTAGGCTATGTGCGTGTAATATAAAGACTCGTTCGCACTACTTCACGCAATTTTAAAAATGGATCGAGTGTGTGGTGTCGGTTGCAGGTAACCTCAATTTTTGCTTCACCTACGTTTTCGTGCAAAAAAGTAAAACGCACGAGATTAATTATTGTTGTAAAAATTGTAATCTGGTTGCTACTGGGAACAGCTTTGCGTCATATCCTCCGGGGTTCCAAACCAGGTGTAAGTTGGATCTCATATTTTTCCAGCAATATTCAAGAATGCGGCGGTGCTCAGTATGAAGTGAAAATAATCCATTACCATTTTCATAGAGGAAACTACTCACAAGGTTGCTAAAAACTCTTCGACAGCCCACGGCAGGTTTCGCTCTTCTTGGGGCTCATCAGGTAGGCGCAGTCTCCGAGTTTCCGTCAACCCTATGTTCTACTTGAACCCAAATTGGACTGTTTTCGAGAACTACACTCATTTGAAAATCAATTTGGTTTTCACGATATACTCAACTGAATCTCTTTTTTATGATATTCTACAAGCGAGAGATTCAGTTGAGTCTTTCGTCTAATCCATTACCTGTTTCTCACCCAATTTTCATTATTTGTGAATAAGGTGAACACTTTCTTCCTTCAAAAGTCGATGAATGGGCTGGCACAACGCTACCGCATTCTATTCCAAACCTATAAGTTCTGGCTACTTCCGGTTAACTGGTCAACTGTGTATTTTTAAAAATGATCGAAAAGCCTTCATCTCTTCAGGGAAAATTGTTGACCACTGAGCTCCATAGCTAAAGCAGATCCGAGGATGCTTGGATGTTTTCATAAAGGTTCTCAGAATTGCTAAGGAACAGGACTAATGAGACGGTCAACGGCAGGAAAGCTTTCGATGTCCTTGTGATTGCTTCTAGATAAATCGGTCCTGGTCGTCTTTGTAATATCGGCAAAATAATGTCCACAAAACCAAAGCACAACCAACTCAAAAGTGAAATAATCAATCTGATTTTAGCTCAAGCAATGATCAAAAGTCAGAAACACAATGTACGGTTTGAAAGTAGACCCTCGAACTAACAAGTTATCGGATAAATAATCCAATGGTATCCTTGTTCGGAGGTGGGAGACAGTTGAGGTGTGGATCTTCTGTGAAACCTCTGGTGTTTCATCAAATTGGAGCGAGGTAGAAGTTCCTTTGACGAATGCTAGCAAATGTTGCAGTAAGCCGCAGAATTTGAACATAACAGAAGGGTATTTGTGGTTTCAAGTTCCAGAGCTTCTTCCTTTCCAAACTTAGGAAGCCCTCCCCCTATGAAGTTGCATGTAGGTTTGCTGTCAACTGAAACACGTCAGTGTTCCGCTTGAGAGACAATAATACAACGCATATGTGACATCTAAATATATCTTTAATTTTCCAGACGACGAGCGGCTGCGTGCATGACACAGATGTTTGCGATGTTTTTAAGAGCCTTTGTTCAACAACAAGATGCTCATTCAGGTACTGCATCACCATGTAAATTCGACCTATAGTTGTTTAATTGGCAAACTCATTATGTGAGTTCAAAATATGTGTGCCCTTAAGTGCATGTAGAAATTGTGTTACGTACGGTGAGTAAGGAAATTTTTGCAGAAGATACACACATTCAGGAACACAATTCAACAAATTAAAGCTATTTGGAAAACGTGATACAGAAAACGGTCACACTGTGTGCAACTTACCCGAAAGTTGAAACTAGCATCTGTGCGACTGTAGGCTTCGCGTAGTCCGACTGGAATACCTGAAGACTCCAAAGTCATAAGGTAAATAGCCTTGGTGAACCTCACAAGACCCGAAGAAATGCGGCTGATTAACAGGCTGCAGATTGGTATGGCAATCATTCCGTAGACCAACGTCAAAAGTTTGCCGATAGTCGTTGACGGAAAGACATCGCCGTATCCTAAAATGGTGAAAATTTTGCCAAATCGTGAGCTAATAGGTTCTGAATAGGGAACAGAATCATCTTCGTTCACTTGAACACATCGTCTTGACAAGCGACGCGTTTGAAACTACAGATAGCTTCTACAATTGCGTTAATACCACTGGTTTCATATTTCGCATCCAGATACATCAAGACTCTTACCGGAAATCGAAGCACTCAACGACAGTACAGGAAGGGGAAACGACCAAAACTTGTAGATGTGGCTTACTTGTATGACGCAGAAAAATATATGAATAAGTACTAAAGATAAGACGGGTTGCTCAAAGGCGAAAAACTTTATTTGAACAATAATGTAAAACAATTAACAACAAATTTGGTGAGTTACTTTTTGTGTGTACTTGTTTAAGATTGGTCGGTTGTTTATTAAGGACTGACTGCAGACATACGTACGGAATTCTTACAAACTGAAGTATATTTATGAAACAGAATTGGCCTATATATTTCTCCGCGGCCATAGGACATAGGGAAGACTGGTGGAGGTAATCTTGGAAAGATGTAATCGTTTTTTACTAAAACAGTTTTCTGTGTTTGGAGTTAATTTTCCTCAATGTGATTTGCAAAGTTACAGACAGGAGAAGGAAGCTGATCTCGCGGAATCTCGGTACTCTTCATCAAGGCTAACGAGGAACCTTCAACGGATCCTTCTGGAGAGTGACCCTTTTCAGGGGATGTTCCTCTTTGAGGATAAATGTGTACAAGCTCACAGTGACGGCTATTACTTATTGAAATAAATGTTTTTCACCAAGCGGTAAGTTTTTTGCATTCTAACTAGTTATTGACTCTGTAAGGCATCAAAGAAGAATTTTATCACAACATAAATGCCAGTGATTTAGCTTTGGAATTGCCGTTCGTCGTTCTTGCAATAATCCTGTCTCGATCTATAAGAAATACTAGCAGACTTTAAAAAGGATGTAATTTTGTCCGCTTTGAGCTTAGCAAGTAGTGAATGAGCACCTTACAGTTGTAGGTTGCACAAGTAATTGTGACTGAAGGCTTCCAGTTATGATGTTGAGTTGGTAGTGCGGAGCTCTGAAGTGATAAAATCTATTGTGAATAACCCGATAACTGTAAAGTGAATGTATCTACCTTGAAACGCCGGTACGAAGAAATAGCTGAGGGTAAAAAAATAGTCTGGACAAACAAGCTTGATGCTCATATGTATAACCCTTCTTCAAAAGACAACTGAAAAATGGACTGTGCTACCGGTATCCGCGAGAACATTTGGCAACAACAGCTATCACTTGGAAGTAAATACATGAATATCGAGGATCCTCTTTGCTTGTAGTCGTGGTGTGTGATGTTTGCATGAGTAAACTGTAATGGTCAAACATTCTCTTCGCCAGAAAAGTGCTGCACAGCTCTAATAGGCAGGCTATCCAAAGAAACAAGAATTTTTTCATTTCTGTGAAGGCTTAAATTACAGCAAACGTCATTAGGTATCATTCATTCATACATATCAGATGCTACTCTTCTGGTGTGGTTGCTGTTTTTGGCTCATCAAACCCCTGTCAACTCTTTTGTTCAACTACTCTCCTACAGACGAGGTTGATTGTGCAACGTTTAAATTTGTGGTCAAACATCGAGTTAAAAGGACTCCGTATGAATATTCAGTGTACAGATTTTCGCAGATTCATCGCTGTACATATTGATAGGCTTAACAGTACATGGAGTTTTGGTAAAATAATGCCAAAAATCTGACAACTAAGCAAGTCGACAGAGTCATTTCATTCAGACATATCTTAAAGCTGCTGTTACTGAGTGAGGCTTTCTGTAAAAAAAAGCTTGATTCTGCAAGGAAATCAACATCCCAATGCTGTCCATGGCGATATTTTGTAAGATGTATGTGTATACATATGATATAATACAACAAGAACCTCTACTAATTTTTTCTTCATTCTGAACAAGGTTGTCTCCTCAACAAGCCGTACGTACGAAATGCTGTTTCAATAAAAGGTGTACTACATTGTTTTTACGATTTCTTCTTGGTTGTCTTTCCCTGAATTATAAACTGAAACCCACGGATCAACTGTTGATATGTGAAGGTACTGGATACAGCCGCAAATTCCGCGAACTAACTGCTATCTTTGCAGAAGTAAATATCCTGAATTAAACTTTTGAAAAATAGTCCACGAGGCTGTTTGTTTGGCTACTAGACTGAGAAGCACAAAACACCGGAGCAATGTGGTCAAAGCACTGTCAAGTAATGACCGACTTGCAGTTCAAGTATGGGGAACAACTATGTCCTGAGGTACAAGGCGCAGGGCGTAAACTAAACTACGGAACAATGCAATCAGGTGCAACTAGTAGACCGTAGCAGACCGCCCATTTTATGTTTTGCCTCGCTCCCAGTACAACAGAATGACACCGAAAATTAATGCGCATGATAAATTAACTTGACGCTCTAACACACTACTTAGTCAGAGAGTCTGCCATAAGACACTAAGAATACTGCTGTTTAAATAAAAATTCCACCCTCTTAGTTAGACACGTGTACAGGACAGAAAGTGCTCAAATCGATGTGTCCTGCCTCACATGGAAAAATATCTCAGCTCTGCTATCTATTAAGGGAGGGTTGGGCAATCCAACCTCCCATGGCTGATCTACTCTGCAGAGTTCACTCTAAAGATCAGTGAAGTAGATGGGCCCTGTTTATAAAAATGAATTGAATGACTCTGAGAGGCTGCAGTAAATTGGTCCTACGTAATAGGTGTTTCTGAGGTGGCAGGGTACGGCTGCATCCTGTCAACAGGTGAAAATGCATCTTACGACCAAATTTCATCTGGCAGTGCATCTTCTAGGTCTACATGTGTAGGATCGTACCATCAGCAATCATAAAAACTTCAGTTGGGTTTTATTTTTTTGTGAGTTTAGCATCTAATTACAACAAACCACAGTTACTGCTACCAGCAGAGCACACCACCCTACTCTTCTTTGTTGGATTCATAACTGAGTAGATATATCCGTAAACCTCATCAAGTCCACAGAGTTTCAACTAACCAATGAGGTCAAATCGCATGCGCTTTTGATGGAATAGACTTGTGAATAGGTCTGAATAATTTGTTATACCGGAGTCTCTGACAACGAGGTTTTCGTGTAGATATCTCTGAGAACTTTTGGCTATACACACTGGGACCCGAGAATGGGACTGTGACGGTCTCATTTCTACTGGGCCCTTCAGCGTTTGCTTTTCAGCTGAAGAATTTAGGTACGTTTGTTGGATAAGCAAGCGAGCAACATGCTCTCAAGGGTCACGATATATAACTTTATGAATATGATGCATTTTCATCCAACCAATCAATTCAAAAAGGACTGATGAACAACCAGTGTTCCTATTGTTAGCTCAGGCTCTCAGCTAACTGAGTGTTCTCCACTCGTGAGATACTGGTCGAACAAGTATTTTGCTACATTCTCCGTCACTCGATGAATGACCGGAATCGTATATCTAACCATCACTTACTAGCGTATTTTTTGCAACTTTTATTGACCGTGTGTGGCCGCGAGGCTAACTGAATGTTTGCTCATTTCTGGTTACTCATGAGTAGTTGGGTTCAGTTTTGACGTTTTGCGGTTCGCTGGCGTTTCCACGCACGCACTGCTTGTTAGAAACAAGCTGTGGGTTCAGTGGACTCTAAGCCCGGATTTTCGTGAGTATTCCGGGTGATCGTTGGTATTTACCGTCTTTATTTTCATGGTGGACATGCAGTTAACGGTTATACAGGTAAGTAGTGGAATGTTAACTACTGCATGTGTACATGGCGTGCGGGTGGATCTTTTGTGGATGCACTGTCTGCTAATCGTCCTTTGATTAAATGTGCCTGAATCCACATGTTCCTGCAATGTGCTGTATAGATTACTCAATTAATTTTAGAGATCCCATTACCAATGCGTCTACTCCATCAAAGGTTCGGTTATATTTTCTGGGTTTAGAGCAAGATGAGACGGTTATCTATTCGTGAAGGGATGCTTTGATCGATATATAGTTTTTGCTTAATTTAGAAAAGCACGTTGTGCACTATATAAATTATGACAAAAATCCGATTCCTTTCTAACTCTGATGTCTTTGAATTTTATTGGTCGGTATTCGTTTTTTTTTGTTGAAAGCACAAGCCTTGAGCAACATTATTGTCGCATTTTTCCACACAACTCCGAGTAACAGCATATCGGATGCGGAAAGAAACAATCGCCTAACTGGTGAGCTCCGAAAAGGGCAAAGCCGGTAGTGGGTCTCGAGGAGTTTTGAGCAACCTCATGAGAAGTCAGTTACGTCTGGACGACTCGAATATATCGTACCTGCTCGGAGCTGCACATTCAGTTGATTGGGATCATCATGAGGGATATTCAGCTGGATTAGTTTAAATCTCCTGTCAAAAGCAAATTCGTGTGCGAATGAAATTGAAGATAGACGTTTACACCGTTTTTTGCCAAAACGACTGCAAGAAACAAACCGTCAATCTTACATCAAATGTCCCGCTGAACTCATTTGACAGTACTTTCACTTGACTCTGCTGAAACCCATGGAAAAATTCCTCCCCCTGTTGCTTGGTTCTCTCTCGTTCCCACGGCGGACTGCATTTTACTTTCCACTCTTGAGAAATGGCCGCATCCCACTGTTTTTCCCGGGCATTCTACCGACTTCGTGATACACAAGCAAACGAAGAATAATTCTGAAACTTACCGAAATTAGTCTAAACCTCAATGTTTATACGTTTGAAGACAGATACGTACTTTTATTCGTACTTTGCTATGTTATCCATAGGAAAGTTGCATTACTCAGAGAATTGTTGAGCGACGCCAGCTGAGACGGATTTTTAAGCCTGCCAGAGCCAAGACCTGCGTTTAACGTGATCACAAACTGAACTAAACAATTCTAATATTGTTTTTCCGTGCCTCCTCTCGTGTAGAACCATCTTAATAGGTGTTTTGTATCGGTCGATTCCATGGACTATTCCATTCCTGTCTTCGAATTTTGTGCCTCAAAAATGTTTTACAATGCATGATCGCGTCTGTTCAATGACCTTGGTTAGCAATCGCTAGATTCTAGGAGAATAGGTGGTTTAATCTCACAAGAAACCACACTTTGGAAGCACTATTTCAATAGTAACACCATGGGGCCTACTTCTCAGAGACAAAAGTGAACTGCGCCATTTCGAGGTTAACTATTTCATTCTTTTAAAGGTGAAAGGCTAGATCAACCCCACGATGATTTCCCAAACAAATATTACATAATTTTACACCGATGTAGTCATATTATCTTTTTTGGTGCCAATGACAAGCGTTCGTTGACTTTCGAAAGTCGGAATCTCACCCAGCTGGTCATAGAAACCAGAATGGAATAAATCGAGGCTAAATGGGCCAGTAGATTAGAAACTAAATTATTCTTTCATTGAAGAAGATCAAGATCAATATTTTTAGATGTCTGTACCCTTAGGTGTCAATAAAATACCCCAATGGATGAACGAACTCACCTATCGTTGTAAACAGTGTGAAACAGTAGTATACACTTCCCCATAAGGACCATTTCGTTGGTACATCAATCGTGAGCTCATCCGTTCCCGATTGCCAAGATTCGTACAACTTTTCTCGATAGCGGTCCACTTGAGCTACCAATTTCGACCAGTCCGCATTGGCACCTTTTTTGGCCAGTTGCTGGGCGAGTACGAAAATCTTCTGTCTTGTCTGACGTAGAGATGAAATTTTAAAAAAACGCTCTTAGTTGTCAAAATCCTCAAGCGAATAAAATACCCACAAGTGAAATGAATAAAGAAAATGTTTTTTATTGCACGATTACCTGTTGTTTTCGCTGTATACTTTGAAAAGCTAGACCGTCCATGAGAAGGAATGTAATATTTTCCACACTTTGACCAGTGTAGCCAATCCTCCCCCATCGACAACCAGCATGACAATCCAGCAGATGTAAATGTATCAACCTCTTTATTGGGACCTCTAGATCGCAGTGGTAATACATAATATATGTTTTGAAGCACTATTCAGCCGCACTGATTATAGAAATGGGACGTAACAAGCTAGCAGCTGTCACGAGAGCCATTTTTTTCTTTTCAGACGACCTGCAATGGTGCCAGTTTATCGGTTTATACATGTACATCTTCACAAGCAGTGATGCTCCTTCAAGATATGTCGGCGTAAGCTTTGCAGCCGTTTTTTGTAACAGCGATATGTCTTACTTTTCTCAGTCAACGTCAAATGTTCCAGCCCTCATCAAGCACTCCAGTTCAAATATTCTTGATCCATTCTACGCTTTTCTTAGTTTTTTTCGGACCCCCAAGCTATCCATCCTGTAATGCTAACGTGTCATCGGAGTTGAAATCTACTTCGAGCAATACAAAACCCATGAGACACTCATAAAACGCTACGTGATAGCTCTTCAACTGATTCTACGGCTCAGAGGCCGCCTAAGTTTAGGCAGTATTCGAGATGCCATGGCATATTCTCTGGATGGAACAAAATACTCTTGAGATTGATGCCTGACAGAAACCAAGCAAGCTCATCATGTGGACGCAGTTTTCAAGTTTCCATCAACCTTATTTTTTACTTGAACCCAACTTGTAAGCAAACCGCTGGATACACTATTATGCGAACTAGTTTGTTTTTAACGAGAGAGATTCAACCGAATTCCAGCTGATTCTCAGTGGTTACATGCTTCAGCTGAATGTATCACGTTGCTTTTCATAAGTGAAGTCATCTATGATGGTCAAAACTTGCAGTCATTTAGAAACCCCCGCAATGATTATCACTCTCTTCGTTACTAATTAACTTGAGGAGATTTCAATTGTTTTGCTGGTCGTTAGTTTTATTCTGGTGATTTTGGGCACTAATAGTCTTTAACTTTAAAAAAGCACGTGTGGTTGGCACAACTGTCTACGTGATACGCTCCACATGGTGTCTACATTGAAACTAGTATTCTGAATAAACTTATGTCTGGTTTTCTTTCCCCGCCGAAGGAAAAATCGGTGTGGTGTAGAAAGAACTGGACTAAAATAGACCAAGACAAACTTAAATGGGGTAAAATAGCGGTTCGTGAATTCTGTTTGACACTTACTTCAGAATCTCCATAGCCCAGCCGCACATCATTCATCACATGTTAGGAAAACTAACCACTTTACATCCGACGTACACTGATTTGTTATTTTCACTTACTAACTTAATCAGATCGAGCGATGGTGTACAAAGTGTTTGCCGATTCCTGTTTTCTCGTTTGATCGTGCGTTTGACCATGTGACCTTGGTAATGCAGTAATCAGTACACATAAGAGACATCCTTCAAGGCGATACCTAGCGTGTGTGGAGGGCTTTTGACAGTTTCCAGTTTTTCGTATTATTAATACGGGTTTTACACTCTCTCTCTCTCATCCGTGCTAAACATATCCCCCGGTAATGGAGTCTGTATAGCCTATAAAACGTGGTATGCTACAGCCATAACAGAACAATCACCGTACTGTTTTTAGACAGTTTCATCTGCTACCATGATCTTGTATCATATTGAGGAAGCGAAAGCTCTATCCATTAAAAACAACTAAGAACATGACAATCAAGTCAGTTTACGGTTGGATACATTCGACTGTGCGTGCAGTCCGTGAAAGTGGAATGCTCTGTTGATAGCCTCTAGAAAGAAGCCTGTGTCTTTCCCAAAACATCAAGGTTGTGCGTTTTGGTGAAATAAAACAGAGAAATCAAAAGCTTGCAAGTGTTCATGCTCTGGATCCACATCACGTATGCTGAATAGTTCACAACTAGACTACATAAATGAATGATTGAATGGTGGCTTGTTCGCTCGGGATATTATAGTTCATGTGAGAAAGTGCCTCCTTTCAGACCTGGGGAAAAAGAACAAATGGTTTTTTTCTTATTCAGGGGATGAACTAGGAAAGATTTGCGCAGTTCAGTAGATTTCCTGGAACGCTGGTGCTGTCTTCATTCAGTGGTCACTAGTGCTTGTAAAATCCGTTTATGACCTGGTGTTAGCTGCTAAACAACTTGCTTTTACTTCTTGAATTTCCCTACTTCGTTTCGGGCCGAATCTCTAGCTGAGCTGTACCCAAAAGTTTGAAAGAGCTTGCGTGTTTCCGAGTGGTGTAGTATCCGTTTCCGTGAGAGAACCACTGTATTTCGCTGGACGGAGATGCCTAATATAAGTTACATATAGTGGATTAATTTGGAATGGAAAGCAAGGAGACGTTACGGAGTTGTTTGCAACTTACTGGAAATAAATCGTAGTGTAAATTGCACGCATCTCAATCGGTATTCAAAACCGATAAATAACAGGTAATGAGGTAGGCAGCAAGCAGGATGGCTAATAAACTTTAACGCAAGCTATAGAATCTTGTCTTATCTATCAGTTAAACTTAATGAAGTTGTTCTTCCCCGTCCTGATAGAAGTCAGATACGTGACTCAACAGCCGAACTCCTGGATAAACTGTCTCCAAGAAAGGCAACTACTGGCTGAATAATTATATTCATTTAGCAATTTGGATCGCTTTTGCCATGTACTGAGAAGATGAGTTTGGCTCTCAGGATTCAACCCGTAGTCTGTTTTTTGGCTAACCATGAACATTCCACTAAACCCGGATCCAGCAAACTCTTTTATGGTTACGATTCGGAGACAACTGAATAAATGACCAGGGCTAGTTTCTTACGTGCTCCATGTCTCAATCCAGTAATTTCGGTCTCCAGTATTTGAACAAGCGCAGTTCTTTGGTCCGACGGATATGTTAAACGTAAAGTTTGTAGCAAATCTACATGGTCGGAGGAACATATGTCCTCTTCAAGTTTTATTCTTTTGAACCAGAAACGCAATCTTGCTAAACAACTGTTTTCACGGGTACACACATCACACTTCATTCAAGTTGCCCCCTAGCGACATGGATATCTTACACTGCCCAGCAAACGACATACGGGAGTGATGTCAACAGCTCCTGACTTTGAAAGTATGTCCAAGACTTCGAAAATAAGTCAGCCGCTCAAAGTACCCAGTACCTGGCCTCGGCGCCAAAGGGCGTAAAATGTCTCAGCAATCGGAGCCAAAACCTGACCCTACTTTCGCTTAAGGGGCCGAATTCTATTGCTGACAAATTTCACAATGTACATCAGTCCACAAGGAACTGCGTGGAAACTCACTTTGGCGAATCACCCTAATATGTAGTAAAATTTGTCTATTCTCAAGTACTACTTTTTGATACTGTCTAGCTGAAACCTGACAAGAACCACTCATCAAGTTCAGTCTTTTTTCCTGTTAGAACTATCTGTGCGAAAATCACTGTCGCTTTAAAATGTGAAATCTCCATCAACGTGAAGACAACTCAGATGTGAAGACTTTAACCTGTTTCGATGTGGCAATTCGGGTGCTCACAGCTCGTGCCATGGAGCCCATCTAGTCTTCCAAATGCCTCCAATACCACGCGTCACTGATACCCAGTAGAACAGAATATTGAATCGTTATGATCTGGACTGCTTGAAGTAAGGAGGACTATCACAACTAGTAGCCTGGACAATTGCCCTAGATACTTACTAGAAATCAAACAAGACGCCTATTGTCCCAACGATTAAAAGAAATCAGATGCTTTATAAACTGCACTCACATATACCATGAGTCAGTTTTGCTGCATATTTCTCTGTGTACTGTCTTCACAGCTTAACTCAACCCCGAAAATTTCCTTCTTTCCTTTTGTGTCCTTGAGCCACCGCATCATTGACTACACATGTTTTGAGGTCGCTCGGAAGTAGTCTCCTGTCAAACTTTACTCCACTGTGACAGGAACTGCGACAGAGATTGAAGGGTATGCTCAAATATGGAAGACTATTCAATGATAGCTTCATTGTGAATGATGCTGTTGTGTGCAATATAGCTATCTATTTGGATATTTTACTATATATCGCAGAAAACCTTAGCGCTTAGTGTAAACTGTGCATCTGACCAAGCAAGAAAACTTTCAGGTACAGATTGAATGTGAAACACTCCAATACCCCAGGCACTTTACGGTTCCTTTAGAATTAGGTATGTAAAAACGGCTTGCTTTCGTGTGGTCAGGGTCCAAGTCAGATTTGGGGCGAGTGCTTTCAGGCTTGCATGGATGAGATCCAGAACGTATGATAAATGACCTTAGTTTCAAATAAACAGCAAAGTGTGACCACAAGTACCTTTCCAACAGCTATTTATCATCCGTATGTGTGAATGCCACAGGCTTTCAGGCCAGAGAAGTCTATAAATACACTTTCCAATAATGAGATCAAAAACCAACGAAAGTTCGGTAGCGTGATGTCAGACTTGACATTCGGTGCTTTGTAACCCAATCATGATAAGACCACCTGATGATGTTACCTTTCAGTGTTTTTTTCTAATTTATCTAAATGTAAGAGCAGGTGGTGTTACATGAAGCAGCCTGAAAGTGTTAACTAAACGATTGTCGGGAAAATTATGCTTGTTCAGTATTTTAAACAACACAGTTCGAAGACAAAAACCGGTAGATGCATTCATTCATATTGAGTCCTCGGTACCAAACTATCAAGAACGGAGGAGGAGACCACCCACTCAATCTGTAATTGAACCTGCGTGCTTTCAGGTCTTTTCCGGAGAGGATCTGTTTTGTAAATCTGCCGCATCTTATTGTGGCCTCATGCCGAATAGACCGTCAACTGATTCTGACGGTTTGATAGTGATGTCGTGGACTGAGCTGGGCGTTAGAAAGAATCAGCCGTGAAATCGGGTCACGGATATGAATACGAGAAGTAAAGCTGAAAGACCATCTGAAAGTTGGTCGATCCAGATGCCAAATTTTGTCAGTGGGGCGTTTGGCAACCAGTGCCCGTGTAGGTTGAAAATTACTTAGATGCCACACCTGTTCCTTCGACGCAGCAATGTCTAACTTAAATGTTACCCATCTCGCTCGTCAATCTGCGATCGGTCATCAATACAAGAATGCGAAGACGATGAATAAATCCTTAAGCCTTGCATTTCTTAGTCAGAATGAAAGATCACTCAAGATCGATAAAGCCAAGTGCCACCGGGAAATTCGACCAATCGTGATCGAGTGCTAACTGCACGTCTTCCTCGAATGAGTGACCAATACTGCTAGTCAATATCAGACTTCGGAAGCCATTTCACAAATACTTTGGATGCCAATTCGAAAAGTTGAAGAAATTTTGATTACACTCCTCAATAGGAACAAAAAGAACTAATCGGTACCTGATTTTGGCGCTGATTTTATGTTTTACACAAGGTAAAGTTGATTAGCGGGAAACACGGATAAAACTGACATGGGAAACACTGGAGCACTCGCTTCGAAAACGTCCGCGCACATTCAATTTGGCACGCCTGCATTTTTAAGGAGAAAGTAACGGCGAGTAAAACTAGCTCAACTGCATTTAGAATCCAAGATTTTTAATTTGCGACAATACGAGGATTTCTGTACCATCAAATGGAATTTTGCTGTTGTTCGATAAAAGAAGCTGGCTTTAGGGTTACCTGACTTATCTGGTTGAGTACAACAAATAGAATACGTTCTCTGAGACGATACAGGCTAGTGCTGTGCGTGCAGCAGTGTGCGTTTAAGAGTCGAATTCACCTCAGACGTCTGGTATGTTTGGCCACCACTTCATTGTTTCCTACTATTTTCGTAGATTCCTCCAGTTAAAGAAATAAGCAAGACGGTTCCGTTGAAAACGCTTTTTTGTTGCTGTTAATATAATCACAACAAAACCCTGAGAACTTTGACTTTGAGACTTTGGCCTTCAGTCTGCTCAGTATAGAAGAGCAAGGCTCCCGGATGCTGGTCTAAATTTTGAAACCGAACATGGGCTAGCCTTGGGATTATTAGTAAACAAACAGCCATGTATTTACAACAAACACTAACCTAGGCTAAACAGCACAGTGCAATAACCACTAACATGTACCCTAGGTCTTCAGGTTAGTGTCCCGCGATGCAGATGTACAACTCGTTCAGAATAACTCAGCGGCGTAATGAGTGACTAACACATGTTCTCCTTACCGGGTGTGGCTACGCGATAGGGTCTCTGGTTTCACTGCATTGCGTTGAGACAACAGGGTGCTTGGTGACACTACCCTGGATGACTTGTACCTCTGTTTGTTCGAAAAAAATAAGTTTTAGAATGCGGTAACTGCACAAAATGCATTAATTTGCGAGCTTATTTGGTTTTGAATGAAAGTGAATGTATAACAAAAAGACCGCTTCATGTTTCCGTTTGGATGACATAAGAACAGTGTTCCGTCAACATGATACACTGCGCTGCCCCGAATATCGTCCCAAGTGAAACCTAAGGTGGTCTTTGTGCAGCATGCTTTAGTTGGGGAATATCACAAATTAGAGATTCAGCTGGGTTTCAGTCGAGTCTCCCGTTAAAACCAAACTGGTATGCAAATAGGTGTATTCTGCTAATCGAGCACAATTTGGGTTCAAGTTGATGAACCGGAAGAAGGATAAAACCGATTATAGGCTATCAGTGAGTTTTCCTTAATGTTATGGGCAGTGATTTTTCGAAAGATCAATATCACTTTATTCAGTGTTATACAAAAGTCATGCAGACGCTTACTTTTGAAACGTGTATCCTTGAGTGCCGCTCATGCGGACCTTCAATTCTTTGGAAAAGCAGTGCACCAAAAAGTGTGATAAAGGCCAAAATAACGATGAGACCAGGTAGTGAATTGAAAAACTGACCTAAAACAAGGAAAGTAAGATGTACTGGGAGCTGTAGTCAATGCAGCATCAGAAGCACGCTTAAAAGTACAAATTTCAGTGTCCTTCATGCCTGTTTCAAAGTTAGGAACTTTGTACAGCTGGCTAAAAATTAGTACTGCATGCAAAACGTCTCCCCATATCTACCGAATCTCCTTGTAGAAAACGACTTTTGAATATAACATATAGTTGGGACAGTTGGCTGAAATAGATAGGCTGCTTAGTCCACTGAATTTGTTCGTTTTTCAAGTCGTGATAACCATCAGGATAACCGAACAACCTGTTCAAGGCTTACGGGTATAGTGTTTAGGTTATAGGCCACATCGATTGCTTGCACAGAACCCCCTATTTTTAAGCCAGCATAGTAGTGAAAAATTTTCAACAGTGAGTTTTGAATTGGTTATGAATGCCTATCTTACTTTTATACGGGTGTGCAACAGCTGATGCTGTGTACATTCACCAACGTTACCTCAAAAGCACACTACGAAAAGAGAGATAAATGCGTTTGCCCTTCCTACATTAGAAGTGGAGAAAAGCCACTAAACAGTCAGCCGAATCTAGTTCTTGCCTGCAAGTGGTCTAACAGTACACTCTAAACCTACTCGTTTTAATTCTCTGTGACTTACTTGTATAAGAGGATGACTGACTCCATAAATGGTCCGGTTTCAGCAGTCTGCACTTGACTACCGTACAGATTTCAACCCGCTATCTTCCTGTGAGGGGAAGCATTGATAGATCGGGGTTTAAGATACTTTTCTGCTTGGTTTCACCCTATTAGGCTCCCCTCTTAGTTAACTTCCATGAGGATTTATTCCGACCTTCTCATTGGCATGATCTGAGACCTGCTTCACCACATTTTGTCTGAATTTCACAAGCGCCCTCAGATTGTTGCGGCCAAGGCTGCTTAATGCGCGCAGTCAGTCGTAAAAAGTCTGAAAAGTAACGTTGATGTGCAAAGTTATAGGTTTCCGTTTTTAGAATAATCCTTGGACCCGAATGTTCGAAATCCTCTCATCTTTGAAGCCAATTTTTTCATTCATGCACAGGAGCAGATCCACTAGTGGACTGGTAGCTTCAAATATTATTTATGGCCTAATTTGAGTCTGAATTCTCAGTCACTTAGAAAACTGAATTCAACTGATTTCGCACAATAAATCCGAACTCACTCATTAACTGCAGGTGGATCGGGCTTATGACCTCCCTCACTAAGAGCGCAACATCCTATGATGCGTCCGTAGTAGCCAAGTCAAAGGTATCGCGGAGATCCGTAAAGCATATAATGTGCTGGTGAAAAGAGCACTGTGGGATGAAGACCTGATCAACAAGTAATTCACCTGTGCAAATTCCCAGACACTAGACTAAGCACGTCGAAGTGATTGAGTGGGGACATCATGGCTGCATTTGCTCGTCTGTTGATAAGACTGATACCTGGATGGCTTCCATCCAGTTGACCTTCTGTGGAACGCTATCAAAAACTGGAGTATCTTGGAGAGAGGAGTACAACTGGCTCAAAATGGAGACGGTTAATCCGTGAAGGGACTCAAACAGCGACGATGAGCAAGCTTTATATGCGTTGGCTGGGATCCCTCTTCTTACAGGGCTCTTTTCTTTGTGAAGTGGATGATGGTATCCATAATTTGTTTTTTTGCACGATGCAGCTGAAGTTATTTGGTAACATCACGGCTATAAATGTAAACCTCGTGTATCCATATGGCTGACAGTTGAGTAATTAGCTAAAAGGTTCTATCGATCTAAGGACGTTCTCACCAAAATTCAGAATGATGTGCCCTGTTGAAGTGATTATGAAAGGCGTTCTGTTTGTGCAAGTAGAAAGGTTCGTTGTTCATTTGTACTGCTCTCTGGTTGTTTGTATTGCATTATTCATCATGGAACTGGTTCCACACAAACGAAGACACTGTACACAGAGCGGAATGGGAGACAGTTTTTATCTGGCCGAGATTTTGTGGAGAAGAGCCTGGTCGAAAGTGAATTTCTCATACCAGTGTGGCTGATCTCGCCGGTGCACTGGTATACAGCGTAGCATCAGATTTCCAACTGTTGCCGATGACTATTACTGACATGATATCGATGCTGGAAAATTACCCGAACTATATCCCTGGTTTTGATCTAAACGGTAAAAAGTCGATATTACTGTTAGCAGGATCTTTAAGACAAAGTAGTCCAAACAGTTAGTTCTGGAATTTGCTGAATGACGTTGAAGCTCAACAACTCCTGGTGGTACTAAAGGATATTTCACGCAGTCTATCCTTCCCCACAAATGAACGAATTTTCTGTATTCGATAGTTCTGCAAAAGTAGTTTCCTATCACACACGCACACACCTCTACGTGTAATCTGAATTCAGTTTACATGTTCCCATAAACTGGGGGTGAATCACCGAGACATGTGTTTGGCATATGTTTGTTTACTCAATCCCACCGGCTCGTTTATAACTCTTCCTCTAATGTCTTTCCACAAAGGTTCATTTTCGGTTTAGTTGCATAGGGAACGTCAACGGATGGAATGTGTGGAGTGACAACTGATGAATAGGACATTGCTCCATAACATGTTGTTAACTTTGAATAACAAAACGTTTGAAAAAATTCCTAATCTTGATCAGCAGACCCCAGGAACTTTTTTCTTGAAGTTGATCAGTCCTGCCACTCTCCACTGCATCAGGCTCACTCTTTTTGTCCAACATCCAGATGTATTGTAATTCAAAAAACATGCTGAGATAAAGAGAACCGGGTACATATCTACCTTTTTCCCAAAGAGTTAATTCATTTTAGTTGTAACAAACTGCGCATAAGGATCAACTGGTTCCCACACTGGATATCCACTCTGGAAAAATATCCTGGGAAAATGTGCAAATATTTTTCGCTCCAAACATTTCACCAAGTGTCACCATCGAGTTGCAGAGAATATTCAATAAAATCGCTTGTCGCTGGCCCCAGATTTTTGGAAAATTTTGCAGTTTTCAGGTTTATAAATAGGCCTAACCCTGTTTTCAAGCAAAAGAACAGTTAACAATTCTGAAAACACCTCTGTAGTGAACTTTATTCAGTCTATAATCACATCATTTGAAAAGTTCAAGGATCTCAGTCGAGATTTTATCCCGCAAGCAAGGTCATTCTACGTTGAAAAGCCGAAAAGCTCTGTATAGCTTGACAATTCACTTTCGGATTCGTCATGGGTATGCATCTCACGGAAATTCACAGATATCCATGTCTAAGACCTCCAAGCTAGTAGTTGAAAATTATTCAGTTTCGGTAAGGAATGGCAGGTCACTTGTGCCTTTAACTCACATGCACCTCCAAGTGTGCATTTTTACGATGGCTCAGGTTCAGACTGTAAAAGTTACGCAGATGAGTATGAAGTAGACGTATGAGGCAATGCAGAGCTTGCAAAAGTGACAACGCGACATGATCAACCGAATAAGGTTCAAAGTCTGCAAACCAGTCGCCTCAGTGTTTCAGAGAGTACAATTGAAGGTCAGCACAAGCCAGTCAGCAAGTTTCATTTTTTTCAGACAACGATGCAGACAAACAATTGGGGTACTGCGAACGAACAACAATCACCTGACACAAGCTACGAATGAACCAACCAGAAACAGAACCAGTCACAACTACACGAATGAGAGCAGCCAAGACAGAGTTCGGAACGGCGCCCAGGAAGACTGATTTATGCGATGTGAGTCTCTAGGAGCGAACCCGAGTCTTTTTTGATCGATTTCAAGGGTTACTACATACGTATGTACAGATGTTCATGCAAAGAAACGGTCAAACAAATATTCGCAGAACTGTCAAGTGTAAGAACAAAAACTAGGACAGGAATGCATTACTTAGGGTCAAGATGGGGGTTAAGATAACTGGTACTGATGGACTGGCATTGCTGTATTTTTCGGCCAATCAAATTGGGATGAACGAAGTAGGTCTTGGTCCAGTGATGAACTTGAATGGGACGCCTCTTAAAGCAAGAATCAAGCCCGCTAATTTTGATAGACACAGCTTGTTTAGTTCTCTGAATGCGGAGGTTTTCTATGGACAAGTTATTGGTGAATGCTTTCGAAGTATTTTCTTGATTTCTTGTGTTTCAAAAGAGCGTTAGCATTGGGTTGTAAATAGTTTTGAAACTTGTTTTCTTATCCATAACGTTAACTCTTTCTACAGACATTTGGAAAACGTTCTTGATTCCGTTCACTATAAACAGTGCTACAAGAACTTGCCAGGCGGGTAAGTTTGTATTTTAGTTACTGTCTGGAGTTTGGGCAGCTGATGAAGGTCAGGTGAAGCCGGCGATTATTGAAGCTTCATTTGTTATCCAAATAAAGCCCCGGTTTGAATATGTGTCTGACAAAACAGTTGCTGACAAATCAGTTGCTGATATACTTGTTTCCTTGGTATTAACTCTTAGGGTGTCAGGGATTTGTCCTTGGGTGTGTCCTTAACTTCTGTCTGAAGATTTAGTTACTCGGCTGCCCAGGTAGCACTAGAATCATCATATATTTTGATGAGCAATCACTTCAAGTTCACAGAGAGTCTAAGCTACATTCGGCCCAAATTATCGCTGCCGTCTCTTCGTTTCCCTAGTTTTGTGCCACTAAAACAGAAGTTAGCACTAAATGGCGCGTTACTGCGTGAGGTAAATCTATTCCTTGGATATACTGGACTCTAGTATGAAGCAAGCTGCTGGCGTTTTTCCGGAGAAACTTATTGACAAGGGTGTGTCCGAAAAACCTATCGAACCGTCTGTCAAGATCGTTGCAAACATGCCAGTCTTCTCGAGTCTACTCTGTGAAGACTATCTGTTAGCCGACATAGTCTGCCACCGCTGGTTTCAGTCCCTACGACACACATTTACGGTTGCAAATCCGCGTTCATGATTTGCAACGTTTGCTCAACCTAAGCCTCAAAAACAAGACGCCAATTAGATTCCAGAGTGCAGTAGTGGATTTCTTCTTCTGGTGTTGTTCAGAGGAATATG